CATCATATGAAGTTGACCTAAACTTTTTTTTTCTTCGAGGCGGACTTTCTTATTGGTTTAGGCAATTTCTTTGAACAATTCGTGCACTTTATGGGAACTTTAGAGAATTGGTGATATGGTAAGGAAATTCTTGCTTGCTTAGAATTTTTTATCTGGACAGTCTTTTGTCGTTTTGTGAAACGGTGGTTTAACTTTTCAAAAAATGCATTTGGCCGTTAGCAGCCACTCTTGTGATGCAAAATTCGTGGGATATAGCACGCTCCTGGGCATGATTTTTCCTTGGAGAAGTAATTTCAATGGATCTTTTTTCTTCCTGTGTCTAAAATATATTTCCTGCTTCAAAATGGCAGGAAATCCCGCCCTTCATTTTTATCAATAGAGGCTGCGTGGGCTGCAACAAAGTAGTTAGGGACTTTGAGTTACTCATCTCCTTAGTATTGGCAGTAGGAGTGATAGTTATACCAGACTTAAACTCTACTGTGTCATAAAGTTTATTGTGTGGTCCTTATGCTAATCATATCATGACCTAATCTTTCTAACAGATTCTTATACCTCTTAAGCTCTATAGTTGAAGAGTCAAGAAGTTATGCCTGTGATCAATGAATGCAAATGTTGTCTCCCAGACTTTATTTTGCTCTGTAATTATGTTGCATTTTTGCCATAGTACTAAACATTAGGCCAATATGATTTCTTCATTAAGGGATTTATCTATTATTTCTCTCCTTTTCTCCATTTTCTTTGCATGTCTTCTGTGTAGATAATAATTATCTAAAATTTCCAACATGCACTGGATCACTGTTTTAAGAACTGCTTCCTTTCGAACACAGCACTTGCCTGTACAGTTTAGCATCCTACGTTTGTTTTCCAGTCATCTTCCAAATCAGGTGTGTCTCATTTAGCATTCTCCTTAGTATAGTTTGTTTATGTACTTAGAATTCTAGAATTAATTTGATCCATGGCTCTGTTGATTAACCGAGAACTAAATCAATTGGAAATACTGGAATTGAAAAATATTTATATATTTTTATCTATCCTTCGTCCACTATTAAATGCAGCCCTTTCTTAATCTGTAGATGCTAAATAATGAATAATGTTTTATGTATTACTTTCAATTTAAAAGATGCCATATAGCTAGATTGGGAAAAATCACTGCTAGATTACATGTGGAGTTCTTTAATCAAATAAGCCTGGGCTAGGTCGACAATCATCTCAGTTAGTATTACAAAATTACTTCAACATGTTTAGGAGGCTTGTTAGCAATATTTAAGTTAATATCACATGCCAATTTTATTAATACATACCTTAGCACTGGAAAAAAATTAATGGAAGAGATATTCTCCTGAGTAGGCTCTGAGCTAATAGCTGAGAGAAATTCATGCAGTGAGTTTGCCTAGCTTATGGACAACAAGAACCTGTCTCCCATCTCAGTACCCATGCCAATCCTAAACTTAACCAATGTACCACACAGAATCAGAATAATCATTGAAAGTGCAGAAGTTCTTTCATTCTGTATTTTACAAGTTGAATTTTATGACAATAACAAGAACTAGAGGATCAATGCTATTTGTTTTCTTTATCATGTTTGTATTACTCTGCTCTTTCTCAGGCTACTGAAAATTCAGAAAAACAGCTTTCACACCAGCAGAATGCTGGTACCTCAAAAGGAAACCTGATTCTCAAAGTTCCCAAGGTAATACTGCATGGTGGTAATTTACTGTGTTATTTTCCTCTCCAGGGTTTCTTGGAGTTAGCACTGATCAGTGAACTTGCATCCGTTTTATTGAATATGTATGTATGTATGTATGTATGTATGTATGTATGTATGTATGTATGTATGTATAGTTAGAAAGATAGATGTGTGTTTGTATGTGTATACACACACATATATATGCATACATACATGTATGATTGTGTATACACGTAGATACACAGAGACATACATACATACATACATATACACACATACATACATACATACATATAAATACATGCACACACACCTTCAGCTTTTTCAGTTTTATCCTCTCTTTCAAACATGTTCATGTTCTAACCTAGACATATCAAACACAAGGCCTGTGGGCTGAATATGGCCCGCAATGGACCCAGATTTGGCCCACTGTGCTGCCCCAGAGACAGCAAGGGACCGGCCCCTGCTGCCCTGATCACAGCCCATCTGAGCCGGATGCTCCCCTGTTGTGCATATAGGAGGCAATGAGCGTGCAGGGGCTGACAATGTCAGAAGCCCACCGACCCCTCAACTGCTGCACTCTGGGGCTCTTCAGCTCACGCAGCACAGATGGAGGCGGGAGGCTGCGACAGTTAGGTCAGCCCTCCAAGCAGCAGGCGGAGGCGCCGGGGGGGAGGCATGTGATTTGGCCCGCCGGGCAGCTGACCATCCACCTGCTCTGTCCCACTGTCTGTCTTTGCTTGTGCCTCTACCTCCACCTGCTGTCAGTGCCACTGGGGTGGGGGTGGTGCCCTTGCCTGCCAACCTCATTTTCCAGCTCTGCTACATACACGGGACAAGCCTTCCGCTCACCATCCCACCCGTGATAGCATGAGGCTGAGCAGGCAGGGACTGGCAATGATGGTGACCGGCTGGGCAGCCTCGCCGCAACCCCACCGTCTATCTTTGCTCCTCTGGTGGCTCAGGCCCCAGCACCAACCCTGGTCCACCCCCCCTCCCTGCCAGAGACACCAGCATCCCCCACAGGCCTTCCCAGCAGAGGTGGTATTCAGCAGGTTCTGACCAGTTCTGGAGAACCGGTAAATGTCACCTATGACTGACCTGCCCCCATCTATTCTCTGCCTCCTGAGTCCCAGCTGATTGGGAGGAAATGGAGATTTTACAGTATTATTCCCCTGGAGTTGGGTGGGAATGAGATTTTACAGTATCCTTTCCCTGCTACTCCCACCAAGCCACGCCCACAGAACTGGTAGTAATTTTTGAATCCCACCACTGCTGCCCGGTCCCTCGCAGGCGGCCCCCAACTGGTCACACCCACCCAGTCAAGCATGACCACCTGGCCACACTCTCCCCATCCTCCTGAGGGCAACCATAATGCTGATGCGGCCCTCAAAGAAATTACGTTTGACAGCCCTGTTCTAACCTCTTTGCCTTGTCTTGAACTCCTAGGGTACCAGGGATTTTAGCCCAAAGCAAATGGCTATCCGTGAAAAAATCTTGAGCACCATAATTAGTTGTTTCAAGCGTCATGGAGCAGTAACAATAGATACTCCTGTGTTTGAGCTAAAGGTGAGAATAAGTCAGTAATAATTTTGCTGTTGCTGATAAGGTTTTTGTAGCCTATTTCTTTGGACTAAACCAACTTTCTTAATTGTAATTAATTAAACTATATGCATGATTGAACATGGTGATGGGTGAGGAGAAAAGAAGGATGGTTTTGTTTTGTTGTTATTGTTGAATTCATTGGTTATGCTGCTACTTCGTTTTAAATAATGAAGTTTAGAACTAGAGATTAGGATAATTTCTTTAATGGAAATGTATTTGTTCTGTAGTGTCCTTATACAGGTAGACCTTGTGTTATGACTGTATTGGAGCCTGCCTGCCTACTTGTTACGGTCATAAATTGTGACAGTTGTAAAGTAGCCCAATCACATAACCGACCCAATTTTATGATTCTTTGTTGCAGAGGTCTTTAACACTGTAAATTCTACAGCGTCCCTCATTTTCGTCAAAATGTATTTTACAAGCAGAATCATAATGTCGGGAGTACATGAAATTCATCAAGTTGATTAGAATAATACTAGGAGATATTTCCAGCATACCCTAAGACAAATTTATCTTTTTCAAGTTTACAACATGAGGTGTTAAATAACTAAAAAAAGTTGAATGCAAGCCAAATAAATTTTATTTCTAAGGATAAAGTCATAATAAAATGTTTAATATCAATTTATGATTTTATAAAACGTTCTTACAATGAGGGTACAGCTATACTTTGTGTTTTGCAATAAAAATAGTAACTATAACCATGTATTTCAAACAGATCACTGTGCAATAACATCTCTTCTACAGGAAAATTTATGAGCCAACTACCTCTTTTGTTCCATCTGCTTAACAACCCAGGAGATCACTTAACAGCTACAGTCAGGACTGCCAAGATGGCAGTCATTGAGCAAAGCAGTAACATGGACATCTTGTTTAATAACTGCTTTGCTCAACAACCGAGATTTTGGTCCCAATTGTGGCTGTAAGTCAAGAACTACTGCATTTTTCAGAGTATAAGATGCACCTTTCCCCCCCCAAAAAAGAGGGTGAAAATCTGGGTGTGTCTTATACTCTGAATGTTGCATCAGCCATATCTGGGGGGAGGGGGGAAGGAGTTGGTGTGGTGACGGCAATGGCGACAATGGATGGCAACATGCAGCTGATTGGCAGTATTCTGGAAGGCTGATCCAACCACCAATCAGAAAGGTGAACTTCAAACGATTCTGGGGAACCAGTTCCTATAAATTGAGGCAAACTGCCAGTTGAGGCATTAGCAGAGGAGCCCTGCCACACCGGACTTCGACTTCTTGCTGGACCTGCTCTGATCTTCCGCCCAGATGTCACCCGAGCCACCCCGCCGTTGCCTGAAGAGCCTGCCTCACCCGCTCCCGGGTGAAGCCAAAGCTGCTGCTGCCGCCTGGATACTGCCCAAGGAGCCTACCTCATCTGCTTCTGGGTGAAGCCAAAGCCACTGCCTGGAGAGCCTGCTTCACCTGCTCCCAGGCAAAGCCAAAACCACTACTACCTCCTAGCCGCTGCCTGCCACTGCCCGGGGAACCTGCCTCACCTGCTCCTGGGCAGCCAGGAAGCCACTGCTGCTGTCCTGCCGCTGTCCGGGGAGCCTGCTTCACCTGCTCCCAGGAGAAGCCAAAGCTGCTGCTGCCTGCTGCCTGGAGAGCTTGCCACCAGCTCCTGAGCCACCTGACAGGTAAACACTGGTTAGGAGTTGCAAGGGTCTTCAAGCATGACAGCTTTAAGACTTGAGGACTTTAAGTCCCAGAATTCCTGAGGGAGGTAACATGACTGAAGGAGGAAGGAAGGAGCCGAGGTGGCGCAGTGGTTAGAGTGCAGCACTGCAGGCTACTTCAGCTGACTGCAGTTCAGCAGTTC